TCTTCTTAAATAATTGTTTTCTGTTAATTTAAATTAATAAATTATTTCTCCAGGATTCTCCAGGAAATTGGGGGTGAATTTATGTAAATCTCCAGGGTGAAAATTTTTAGAGTTGGCAACACTAACCACACCCCATCCAAGATTAGATAAAAAGTCATTGTATTTTTAAACACATTTATGCAATGACCATAATATATTATAGATTATAATGATCTGTATGTTTACCGCAATTACAATTACAGTTATTAATGCTATAAATCATGTATTATATTAAAATAAAAATAGTCATGTTGATTGTTATTTGTAAGTTTGGAAAACATTTTGGAGACAACCGTAAAGTATAGAAAATATAGTAACTGACACGTGAACGATAAGTTTTTAAATTACAATATATTTGTATGAATGTGTACAGTAAGGTGAGTAAGCTTTGAATTTAAAGCTTTTCGCTCCAATACTATAATATATTGTCTATGCTTTACAGGAGTCACCGAAATGTTTTCCAAGTCTACATTTATAAATTACTTAACCCTTTCGGGGTATTTGCAAACATTTGCAGTTGAATATAAATTTAACAAGCAAATTTTCGTAATGAACTATTTGCCATATGACACGCGGCAACACATAATTACTATAATATTTATTAGTTATCAATATTTTCTAGTTAACATAAACATAGAATCGTCGATAAAATTAGCATTATTATGATAAATCAAGAAATTATTGTTTTTATTCCAATTTTCAAAATTATCTAGATATTTTTAGCTTGCTCACCAAAAGTATCATTGTACTAATCAATTGTTGAAAAATTGCGATACTTTTAATTTAGCCACTCGCAAATCGCCAAACTGTACTGGGTACATGGGGAGCGGCACTGAGATATTTTGAACAAGTCTAATTTTCTCCCTGACCACAGAACTAGTTTTGTAGATATACTCGTATTGCTGTTGCAGTGTTTCGTCTGGATCATTTTTACTTTCCAAATAATCTAGCCACGGCTTTTCAAAACAACCACCTAGCACAAATTAACAATAGGATTAAAATATATTTTCAATATTTAAAATAATAAATCAAGTTCATGAAGTTTTAGTTATTATTTATTACCTATAAACAATCCGATGTTATCATCAAATAAGCAAGGACTACTTACTGCAGTAATTTCACTACTAGAAAGTGCGTATACGTTAATATTACTTGGTAACCTTGTAAACATTGCACCTTCAATGTATAAATACAAAATTATGATAAATCAACAATCTTACAAAATTATCTATTTAACCTACCCGCATAACACGTTTCCATATAAATCACCAACTTCGCATATTTTTTATTACGATACATATAATTAAATGTTGCCATTAATTCATCTCGATACAATTTTTTGTCAATCAATTGGATAAAGCCTTTATTATAAAGATTTTGATACTAGTTAATTTATGTTTTAAGATTTTTGTAAGGGTAAATTTAACAAAAAATGATTTTAAAAATTAATACTGTAAGTGTAGCATCAAAATTTCAAAAATATATTGTTAACGTACACATTTAAGATATAATGAATATTTACATGGTTGTTTTAAAATTTAAATATAAAATCTATATTGCCAATATATTTTTCTACCTGATTCATCACCATGACCAAAATAATAAATAAACACGTGATCATTTGGACTGCTTTTCAATACTTTTTTGCCTCGTTTTTCTAATTTTGAATCACCTTTCAACATCGAGATAAATATCTAAACATAATTAAATTAAAATAATAAAATATTGTTTAAGGTATATTATATAATCTATAAAAACATGTATACCTGGGGGTCGACATCATTGCCGGTATAATCTTTAGGGACGTTGTGGTAGACATCCGTACCGTTCACCTCATTGATGACAACACCGGGGGTGGGGTTCATAGGATTGTACGCCATGTTGTCGTAATGCATGACTATTATGTGGTCAGAGGGTATACCCCGGGCACGGATCACGTGATACGCGCGATACATACTCGCCTTATATATTAATATTGGGGTAATATTTAATTTTTATGTGTATATGAATTTTGAATAGGCCTTTCAAATTTGCTTTAATATGGCTGTTAAATAGTGCTAAACTATTGCAGTGATATTAAAGCGTGTTTTGTATTATTTGCGCCGATACTGTTAAAATGACACTGGTGGCACCAGCTAACAAATTAAAAATCCCATAATTACCTGCATACTGTATCCAAGGTGTGTAATATTGATACCACCTGCTAACAAAACTACCCATTTTGTAGTATTCGTATCTTGGTTACATTGATACTGAACTGGGAATATGCTTATTAATAAATAACATTGGTATAATAGATAGAATTTTATGAAAACAAGTTTTATTAAAGTCATTGTATATTATGTGTATGATATTTGTTAGCAACATATACTGAAATTTTATAAATAAATTGAGCTAGTTATTACGTACTTTTATTTAGGAATACATGTGTAAAGAATTATATTTAAAAAAACTAAATATTCAAGTACATATTGCCATTTCTAGTAAATAATATGTTTATATTGAATTAAATAGAAATCTAGTATAATTCTAATAATACATGTACAATTCAATAGAAATATTATTTAAAAGTAATTTTTTTTAACTGATACTGTATACTTTATTTTAATTTTAATTATAATCGTAATTATATTTATATAATTCTACCAAAATCAATTCAAAAAATACAATTATTAATTTTTAAAAATTAGTAAACATACATTGTATATAAATTTAGTTTAAATTACTGGCTAAATTATTACTTAATTATAAATTATCACTGTGAAGTATAATTTTTAATGAATTATACAAACGGCCTGCATACAAAAATTACTCCCAATATTAATTTACTAATTGTATAAACTGGAAAATTAATTTAATAGTCCTAGTGGTATTTCCAATTGCATGTACACACAATTAGCATCCGACAAAATTATCTTGATCAAAAAAATACTTTGCATTCTCGCAGATCATACCGTCCGCACGGGTCTCGAACTCCGGTTCCTTAAGCCAAACATTGCGACAGTCGTTGCAATCGATTTCTGTTATGACTTCGTTCAACGAGTTTTGCCTCAAAAACGTGCCGATAATTGATTCATCCATGTATTTAAACGCCTTATTATCGATCAATACCAATGAGACAGGTCGTTTGCCAGTGGTGAATGCGCATTTATTTTCGCCATTCATATCAATGTCATTTTGTTGCCAAACGATACGTAAATTATAGTCCATTGAATCGTTTAATACAAATGCGTTGCAATCGATAGTGCCTATTGTGGCGTTAATTATCTCCACATACCTCAGGGTACTTCCCACTGATTTGAAAACATTTTCAGGTATTTTTGAATTATTGATCCAGTTACTTGAAAATGATTCCAAATTTTTTAGCGAATTAACCACGGGGAATATGTCACCAGTATTGGTTAGGTTTAATGACCTTACTGATAATTCTACTACAGTGTCCGTGGTACCTTTTAATGCATCAAGCTCAATATGTCGAAGTATTTTTGAGCCCCATATTTTAACTCGGTTAAATTTTAAATCGCCAAATGTATGATTTGGCAACACGGGTACGTGTATACCACCAAGCTCAACTGCGGTAAAATATTTATCATTCTCAGTAAGTGCTTTGCTCATATTTTGAAAATGTCCATGGATATCAGTGATGTTGCCTATGTAGCATGACAATGCATTCATGCCACCATTATCGTAACACGTGCATGGTAATATTTTATCCGGACTAGGACATTTTGTATTTGCAAGCTGAGTTAGTACAGAGAATATTAGTACTGATAGTAAATTACCTGTATGAAATAATTTTAATTTGTATAAGTATTAATTATTTTTAAAATTTTTTTCTATACTTACATAAATACATTATATTTACTGATATTAAATTTAATTAATTATTTTAATAATGTTTGTAATATTACGAGCTATTTGAATGACTAAATTAATTTAACTATAAGATTTTAATTATATTAAATAGATACAGATGCAAATACTGATTTGTTATAATGAAATATGTGATTTCAGTTTAAATGTAACATGTTTTATATTTTATTAAAAAGTATTTTATATAATATTTTATTATGAAGTGTCAATCTGCATTTATAAAAATTATGAAATAATTTACATTAAAAGTTTTTATTAAGTAAAATATGATTAATGTAAATATTAAATTAAATACTTAAAAACATTGAGTTTTATGGGTTACAAAATGTTAAAATCTCTATTATTTATAACATTATTAATTGTTTATGCTACTCACTATATGAAACTTAATGTTAAATGTTAAAAGGTACAGGTAGAAATAAATTCCAAGCATTTTTGAAATTATTTTATTTGTATAAATCCGCCTGTTAAAATAATAAATTCACAGTTGGTTAAGCATATTTAATTAGTTACTCATATGAAATAAATATTAATAAAATGTTATATAAAAAATATAAGTTGCGAAATAAGTTATATTTTTAAAAATATATTTGATTTATTTTATTTTACTCAATCTGTATAGCTTAAAAGCTATTTATGGAAAATGTATTTTCTAAAAGACCTTTGTTACTTAAAATTTTGTGCTGTCTATAATACACTTATTGTAGAGTAGTATTATTTATAACATAATTAAGTGAACTAAGTTATAATAAATAATCTTATTATAATACATGACTTTGTAACCAATTATTACATTAAACTATTGATTGCTTGTAATTTAAGTACTTTTGATATTTTAAATAATGTTGTTATAAATCTATGAAATTCTTCGTTATAAATATATTTGTTATTATCATTAATTTATTATAATTCTGTATATTTTAAATGTATTATTTAATAAATTATAATATAAATTATGTTTCTAATAAATATAAATACTATATATATATATATATAGATAACATTTTTGAATTTATCTTACAAATAAAAATAAATACTATATATATATATATATAACATTTTTGAATTTATCTTACTTTAATAAGTCTACCTACTCCAATAATAAATTCATAGTTGGCTAAATAAATTTAATTGGTATTAAATATATTAATAAAAAGTAATATAAATAATTTTATTACCTGATGCAAAATGTTTTCAAAATTACTTTTAATATAATATTTCAATAGCACATACTATTATATATATGTTTGGTACAATTACTTTTATATAAAATTACTTGATAAAGTTTTAATAATAAAAGTAGTGTAACTATAATTCATAACTGTTTTGTGTTCAATAAATATTAATTATACCGTATATAAATTATATATATATTATATCACTCACCATGCTTAAATACCTACTGATTCCCTACGGAATTTACTCAGAAAATAATTATATAAAACATATTCACCGGAATATTCATTACCTCTGTCATTATAACGATTGCATTTTACGTTAAATACGACATACACATTTTGTTATATAAACACCTTGTTATGAAAATTTATCATGATAATAATTCGTATTTAGAAGGAATTTCT